CCGGCCCTTTTTATTTTATTTTGAGATGGGATCTCACTAAGTTGCTGAGGCTGATCTTGAACTTGTAATCCTGCCTCAATTCCCAAATTGCTGGGAGTACAGGCTTGCTTCTCTATACCTGGCTAGATTGCTTTCTTGGACCATTCTCTTCTTATTTACACAGTTTCTTATGGCAAAATTACAAAGCTGCAGAGCAGCTTTCATCTTTGTTCCTCTGTAGGTATTGTGGATTTTCCCCACCCTATCCCTCTGCCCCTGGCTTATTTTACAAATTTCTCTTTGATTTTCTGCAGTTTAAATATGATATGTCTGGTTGTGGTTCTTGTTTGGTGTTCTGAGCTCCCTGGTTTTGTGACTTGGTGTCTCTTATTAACTTTGGAAAGTTCTTGGCTGTCATTATTTCAAATACTTCTTTGTTAATTGTTCCGATTGTGTATACTAATTATGTATATGTTACACCTTTTACAATTGCCTTACAATTATTGTTCCCTTCCTCCCTCCCTCCCTCCCTCCCCACTTTCTTTCCTCTTTGCATTTTGGTTTGGGACTTTTGTATTAATCTATCTTTAAGCCCACTGATTCTTCCTTCAGCTGTATCTACCTGGTTTATTGGTGAGCCTATTAAGGACATTCTTTATTACTGTTAGAATGTTTTTGATTTCTATTATTTTCTTTTGATTCTTTCTTAAAGTTTCTGTTTCTCTGCTTACATTACCCATCTGTTCTTACATATTGTTTACTTTCCCCATCAGAACCCTTAACTATTAATCATAATCATTTTAAATTCCCTGTCTGAAAATTCCAACATTGGTGTCATATCTTCGTTTCATTCTGATGATACCTTTGGGTTTGATGAGCTTCTTGAATCTATTAATGTATGTTATTTGGAAATTTTAAATAATACTTCTTCTTACCTGGAGGAAGTTCCTCTTTCAAAATCTTGAATATCATGTTGTCTTTTTGTTATATATGAGAATGATCTGTTTCCTCATTGACACAGAGTATGCAATTGTGACACTTTACTAGCAGTGGGGTTAGATTTTCTTCTTGGCCAGGTTTCCACCTCAGTTACCTTAGTTATTTGAAAAAAAGTTGGCAAAGACTTAGACACTCAAAGATTGAATGTTTTTTCTCATTTGTGGAAGCTAGAGTAAAATAAAGGAAAGGAGGAAGGAAAAATAAGATATCATAAATATAAAGGGAAGATCAGTAGTGTAGAAGGAGAACGAGAGGGAGAGAGGAAGGATGGGAAGGAGGCAATGCAGAATGAATTCTTAAAAAAATCATATTATGTGTATATAAAATATACCACAGGGAATTTCACCTTTATGTATAAATAAAAAGAGCCAATGAAATATAAATAAATGGATGAACACAAGGAAGTCTAAAGAGTAAGTGAAGGAGAACTGGAAATAGGAGGGAGAATGGGAGGGAAAAGGGGGGCATTGTGAACTGAAATAGAATTCCATACATGTATGATTTTGTTGGAATGAACCCAACTACTATGTCAAGCTCTAATAAAAAAAAGAAAATAAGTTGGCAAGTAGCTGGCCATGATTAGAGAATTTATTACTGAGTTACAGAGCTAAGCTTACAGGTAACTTAGAGTGTACTAATACTGTAGCCACTAACTTCATGTATTTAAAAGTAAGTTAACTAAGGTTTAAAAAATATAAAATTTGTAGTAGACACATTTCATTGCCAAGTAGCCACACATGGCTAGTGGCTGCCATATTGGACAGCACTGATGCAGAACAATTTTATCATCACAAAAAGTTCAACTGGACCTAGAGGGATCAAGTTATGCTGTTGAGTCCATCATTGAACCACTTTAAGTTCTGTTAGGTGTATGTGGTTAACTGTTACAAATCTACATGAGAAATAAATGGAGGAAGAAGTCAAGCCAAAAAATAAAACCCAACTGCTGTCAGAGTTTGTTCCTTCTACTTTCATAAACATTTTTTTTTCCTGTGCTTGTTTTATTGCATCACATCAAGCTTCCAATTAATTAAGAAATCAAATCACTCATCCTGTGTTCTCATCGGTCAAGTCAGGATCATGAGAACTCAAGCAAAGGAAGTGTCTTTTGACAGTTCATTGGAGGGCCTCACTGGAATCTCTAACAATGTTAGCAGGTCAGAGTAAATCCTTTATTAATAGCATTGACTTCTCAGCAACTAACGTTTTTTCATAGGATATTCTTACCCTTCTAGGTAAATGATGAGATTTCCCAGTAGTGATCTGAAATAAATAATAAAAACAGTTTTTTTGGTAGTGATTTGCAGAGCAAGTCTGTGGTGTTGTGTATGTCTTAAGTCTAGCACTTGCACCTTGTGATTGTTTGAATGGCCTGATGCCAGAAGCAGGTCAGCTGTAAGTCAACATGTTTGAGAGTTTCAGTGTTTAAATAGGCTGTTGAGGGATTCCTTGCTTCAGGTCCTGGGCTGGACTCACTGAAGAGGTTCCCCACTGTCCTTGACATTTGAAGGCAGTAAACAAGAATCACTCCAAGCACATAGATGGAAGGAGCTTGTGGTTCCTCCACCTTCTTCTATAAGGCTGTGAAGTTGCAGTACTAAGTTGTCATGTACTTCTTTAGGTGCTCACAGCATTAGGTGCTCACAGCCTGCAGGTCAAATCTTCAAGTAGCTCAGCTGGCCCACATGCACTCCTCTCAATAGCTCTCAGAGGGAGGAGGCACATTATTGCCTCATTCAGGGTGTCTGAATTTCAAGTCTCAGGGGCCCACTTTTACTAGAGAATCATGTGTTCATCAGCTTGAACAGAACTTCTGCAGCACTTCTGATATGGCAAGTGTACCTCACAGATGGCTTCCTTCCACCTTTGTCATTTGTGCTTCCAATGATGTGAGCCTCATGATCTCCAGCTACTCCCAGGTGTTGGCCAGCAAACGGATTCCTAATTTCTCCAGTTAGGTTCAAGAAAATAAGAAGGAACATTTAAATAAACGAGATTGAAAATAGAATGCAACATCTATTGACCAGTCCATGCATTTTGGTTGGCTTTCAGTTGGAACTGCATCTGCTGTTGGCCACAGGCCTTTGCATGCAGTTTGGGAGCTCATTACTCACAATACTAATGCTGATGCTATGATTAACCCTGCTGATCAGAGTGCACAGGAGTTGTACTTAGTTGTAAGCCCTTTGAGGTAGATGTTTATAAATGCCTGAATGGTTTACCTAAAAACTTTGAAAATACTTGGGCCAAAACCTCTCAGAATCACTTCCAGTTATTTGTTTCTTTAGTAGGGAACTAAAATTCCTATCTTATAAATTTTTTGAAAGCCATTTTTATTACAAAATTAATGTTCATTCATATACAATTTCAGAAATGCAAGAATACTCAAAGAAAAATGTCAAAAATCATCTGCCATCTTGTTATTTGAAGATAATCATGATTAACATAATACTTTTATAACATTTTTTCTAAGCAGATTTTTTTCTCTTTATCTAATTTTACAAAGCTTCAGACACATGTGCGTGCGTGTGCGATGGTGTACACACATGGATATGTGTATGCAAATGTGTTGTTTTCCTTGACTAAAAACTAGAAGGAAGATGTTCTAAGGAATGACATTCTATGTTCTCCACCTGCTGGTGGCCTTTCAGATATCTCTTAGGAAGGAGTACAGGACCGTACTGGGTGCATTTTGGAGTATGAGGGTAGGCCTTGGGGAAACCGTCGATCCCTTTTGTGGTTCCAGATATAACTAAAAAGCCTGGATTAGCTGTGGTTCCAGTTAGCCTTTCTTGTGTGTGCCCTGGGGCCTGGATATCAAACTGGGCACAGGAATGGAAAGCTTTTAACTCTATTGAGATATCTGCTCATGGCCTGTTGAGAATGTGCTTAGAAAGCACATTCACAGTGACATGCCTCAGTGTATCTACTGTTAATAGAATCTCTTGGTTTTACTGAAGTCCTTCCAATTAAACTTAAAATGTGAGAGAATAGAAACTACTGCTCTGTTAAGTTTTGAGATTTATTATAACTCTCAGATAGCAAATGCCTTTGTCACAGATCTTGGCAATATCAGCTGATTTTTGTTGTATCCTCCAAATTATAAAGGAAAACATGAGAAACTTGGAATTTTTATATTAAAGAACCATCCTTTGAGTAGTATTAAAAATCATCCCCAAAGCAAACATTTAGTTTATTTCTTGCTCCTGTCTTTTCCTATTCCTATCCCTTTACCTCCCTCCCTATAAAGGATTTGGAGATGAAGCTTTTGTATCTATTCTTCATGGAATTTATCCCATACATCTATGTCATATAATTTATGAGCATGGACCTATTTGTGATATATATTCTTTTAATTTTTAAAATTTCTATAAGATCTGTACTGTTCCCTCTTTGATTCCTTATATTGATAATTTGTGTTTTCTCCTTTTCTTCTTGGTAAGTCTGGCAAGAGGTTTACTAGTTTTATTGTTTTTTTCATTTATTTTGGCTTTCATTTTTCTTTTTGAAATTTCAAATTGAAATTGGTTTCTGTTTTTTATCTTTATTCTCTTCCTTCTGCTTGTTTTGGGTTTACTTTTCTTTACTCTCTCAGTTTCTTAAGACGGAAACTCAGATTTGACAGGTTTTTTTCCTTTTCTAATGTAAGTGATGAATGCTATGAATTTCTCCCTAAGTGTTAGCCTTAGGTGTATACCGTAAATTTTTATATATTGTATTTTCATTTACTTCAAAATATTTCCTCATTTGCCTTGTGAATTCTCTTTGATGCAAATACCATTAAGAAGTGTATTTATATATTTGGTTTGGTATCTTTTGAGCTCAAAAAACAGATTTGGGTTTATATATAATAACATGACAGATTTTTCACCATGTAATGAAACATTATCATGCTAGTATCATTGGGTGAGCTTGAAAGGATATCTTCAGCTACTTTTTTAATGCTAATGTGCCTATATTAATTAGAGTTGAAGGAAAATTTTGGAATCCTCCTTAGTAATGAATCTTTTTGTTCTTTTTAGTGCATTACCATTGGGCAGATCTGGATCCTGAAAAATTCAAGATGCTAAGTACCTACACTGCTTTAAGAATTTGGGACTGAGACATGAAAAGGAAGATATACATAAGAAATTGGGAATCTAAATAACACTGCAACAAAACAAAACAAAAACAGAAAAACCCCTCCAAACCCTCCAAACAATAACAACAAAAAAGGAAAACAACCACCCAAAAGACCCCTAGGTTTTCTGTAGTTGCTGTGATCTGAAGGCAGTGGGTGCTGCTGATGGAAGGCAGTGCGCATGCAGAGGCACACAGCCGTGCCTCCCCCACAGAAAGGCTTCACTGGTTTCCACCATGTCTTGGCTTGCTTTTGGAACAGCCTGGCCCAACATCATTGGTCATCAAGTCCACTGTGGTGTATTCTGCTTGTCCATGATGGATCTCCAGCACATCCATGCTGTCTGCATTCTTTCCAACACTAGTTCATAAGACAGGGCCCATGTTATGGTATAAGGAGAACAACCATCAATGATAATGTATTGTGTGAAATGTTTGCATCTTGTAAATTTTTTCTTTTTTCTAAAAATAAATATTAATAAAATCCTAAATCTCAACAAACCACTTTATTATCAAACAAATTCTGCTGTTTCTGCTTAATGAGGTGTCTGTAGAATTTCAGTGTGTCTGACCCCTTTCCATGTATATCCACACTTCTTTATAAAAATCCCTCTTGCCAGAGACTTTCTCTGAGTTGCCCACACAGACCTCTGATTCCAGTGTGAAAGCCAATCCAGTAATTGATGATTTAAAGATAGTTGAAAATGAGATGGCAGGTCAGTGGAGTATAGATGAGTAGGGAATCCACCTTCAGTATGGCCATACCATTCTAACTGAGGCCAAGTGAGATTTCTGCACTGGTAGCCACCTTTGGGAGGAGACAAAGGCCTCCTGTGTGGAGTTATACAGAAATCCTTTTCTGATAGCTTCACAATTGTCCCTATATACAATCCAGCATACTCAGGGGAATCTGAAGAAAGAGCCATGTTCTGCCAAAGTAGTTTCTCAGTTAAATGTTAATCGGTTAGTGGTACATCTGTAGTGGTCATTTGGGATGTTATATAATACTGATAGTTATATATATATGCTTATCATATAAATGCTTATATAAATAGCTTTTTCTTTCTTGAAATATTTCTTGCCTATAGAGATGTCCATATTTGGCATTTTAGTAATGCTGGTTCTTCTGGTCTGAGCCAGTCATCTACTTCAAATGAAAACATATTAGAAAGTATTAAAACATCTCAAATGACATCTCCAATGTACATTTCAGTACCTGGAATATAGAGTTAGAAAAAGATTTGCCAGATTGCTTTGTTCTGAACCAATACAGAGATCGAGGGTAATCCTCTATAGTTTTAACCTCTAGGTTTCAAACAAGACATCCCAATGTGTCCAGGTAATAATCTCCAGCTCTGTTGGCCATGAGGTACAAGAAGCTTTCCTATCTGAATTGCCTAAGAAGAGTTTGACAGAGTGAATTCAAACTCATTTCTAAAGTTATTCAAACCTACACTTTCCTAAGTTGTATGGCTTGGACTTGCTGAACAGATTTGCCATACATTTTTCTGCCACAACATTTTATTGCCACCAGTTAATGCTTATTCAATAGCTGTAGCCTATGCTTATGGTCAAGGGTGACAAGGATTATTTAGTGGTAAGGGCCAATGTGCTTGATATTTGGATGGTGGTCCAATGATGGAGACCCTCATTGGCCTCACCCCTGTTCCTGTATCTCATTTTAAAGACAGAGAGACTAATTGGGGTATAAGCAGCAGCATGTGGTTAGCAGCCGAATGGTCTAGAAACCTTAAGAAAGAAGAACTGAAAGAGCTGAGGCTCTTTAGTTTGGGGAAAATATTTTTTAATATTTTACAGATATAGGGGAGATAACTGGTTAGGAACAGAAATAGGAGCAGTAGGTATAAGTTGCATTAACACAGATGCCAGCTTTCTGACAACAATTTCAAAGTGATGGGAACTTTTGGTGTCTGAATAGAAGTTCTGAGCCTATTTAGGTGAAAGGAGATCTTCTGTTTTAATTCAGTAGATTACAAATCTTCCTTCACTGCAGCGAACACGGTGAATGTCAGAAAATGTTCATTATTTTTATAGCATTGTATTGAAGGAAGTGTTTTCATCATCCTGAAGATCACTTTCAACTCACAGGATCAAAGAAGCAGTGAGTGCGTTCAAGATTGGCCCAAGAAGGTCATCAAAACCAACAGGGCAAGGTTATAGAGAAACAATGAAAACTCAAGAAGAAACCCACAGAGCATCCACAGCTGCCTCAAAAACAAAAGGTTAATTTAAACCTCCACTTTAACCCTCCCTTGTTTACAATTCTTATGTGGGACTAATGGCTAAAATTAGATTTTGGGTGCAGTTCCACTTGCAGATATAAAACTCAGTCTTTACATCCCTCCTAAAATCTCTGACTCCTGATTCTGCTTATTTATAAAGCTTGCTGTTTATTGTCCATTAAAACATCATTTGAATGAGGATGGGAGAGGAGAATCGTACCTTTTATGGCTCTTCTGAGAAGCCTTGGCAGGTCTTAGGCCCAGTACTTTAAACAGAGCACTGTGCCGACAACTCTGGGAAGCAGGATCCGTTTAATCTTGCCTTTTGTGGTTTACTTTATAGGAGACCAAGCTCTTGTGGCTACACAAGACATAGACCAAATAAAGGCATCTTCTGGGGCTGGATGCTCCATGGCATTGCCTCACAGTTGGTGGTCCTAGGAAGAGCATTTTCCTTATCAAACTGCATCCTGACCATAGGTGGGTATCAGGGGGCATGTAGTGAATTTAATATGTCATTGATTTGGATGTAAGGAACAAATGATCCCACAAACACCTCACTTCCTTCAATATGGTGTCCTTTCAATAACTCTAAAGCTAGAGAGATGATCTTTTCTGTCACTAATTTGTCATTTTCTGCCTTTTTCCAGGCAGACAGCTTCAGAATTCTTCATTTGCAATTCATCACTGATTTGAGTCCTTTAAAAATAGAGAACCTCATCTCAAAATACTATGATAATATCAAAAGAAGAGCCTCCCAGTAATTGTATTGGAAAAGAAGAGGGAGATTGCAATTTGGAAGGGACTCAAACTTTTGCAGGTGCTGCTATGTTTTCATTCTTTCCTGGGGTTAAGACAGCAGTGTATTCAATTTTTGGATGCTTTGGAAAACCAATCTTATATTCCCATTAGGAAATTATTTATTTTGATGGTATTTTAGATTTGTTAAATTAATACATTACTTTTTGATAATATAGTTGATATTAGTGGGGTCTTAAAATAACCTGTTTTGAGTCTTCTTTGGGGGTGGGTGAGTTAAAGCTCCATCATTGAGCAGGAAATGCATTGGCACAGTCTGTTGAAGGAGCTGCAGCTGACAGCCATCTGCAGAAGGGAGATGGGCTTGGACCAAGACTTGGGTCTTTGGAATTGGTCAAGTGACAGCAATAGGTGATGGAGAGGGTGAAATGAAAGGTACAGCTACTTCAAGATGTAAGAGAAGGGATGTTCAGACAACTGCCAGCAGGTCAGTAGGACTGGATTTAGGAAGAGGGGATTCTTTGGAAGGACAGGGACAAAAACAAAACCTCAGAGCTGAGCAGGGACTAGACCACAGAGATCTGGTAAGTCATGGTAATGCCTTTAAGCTTCATCATGTCCCCTTCCAACTCCTCTTCAGACATAATTTGTTCCAGTTCTTCATTAGTTTGCCACATAAGTATGACCCTTGAGAACTAAGTGCAATTTTTGCTAATTCAGTATGACCAAAACCCCTTGATGTGGATAGTGTTGTCACATCTCAACAGGCCAAGGGGTGGCACAGATGGGTGGAATTGTGACTGTGCTATTGACCTGCTGCATGACAATTTACTGATTTATCCAGATTTCTGAGCTTCCATTCCCTCATCAGCTGAACAGAGACAATACCTGCCACTTGGAGCATGGTTGTAAGGGTTATAGGAGAGGATGTTTAAATAATGCCCATGTCTCTGATCAATTGAACTATATTTTAAAGTGTCATTGGCTTTCCCTCCCATCTTTGTGTCATCTTCAGATGTGTTTTCTCTATCATTAAGTGTTGTCTAAACACAATACACAAGATAGAGCTGGTACTTCATTTGGAATCCTCTTTCAGATCAGTAGATGCATTATTTATCTTCTCAACCCACTTTCCTCCTTCCCACATTGCCCATTCGTGCTGAAGTTGAGCTATACTATTTTCACAGTTTTTTGGTGATTAATCCAAAGATCCTGTCAAAAATATGAGTACAGCACAAGGCATGTGAACTCATTCTGGCTTCCAACGATCACTGTGTTCTTTTCCACAGGTTCCCAAACCATCTGTTTAGTCATCTATTCTAGAATATTTTCAGGGCCCCACATCTAACCAAGCTGTCTGCAGTGTCTGCAATCCATCTTGTTGAAACTGGGAATTCTGACATGCTTGGTTTCCTGACCCCTCTCTTCTTTTCAGAATATTTTAAAAAGTTGCCAATGGCATTCTTTTCCATGATTACATCATTAAGTCATTTCAGAGCTTTTGAAACTTAAGTGCATTCAAAGAACCTTGTAAGTCCAACTCTCATCTACCTTGGGCTTTAAGTCCCTTTTAGAGTATTTAACCTTTTTTTTTTTTTTTGAGTTTGGAATATTTGCATACAGGAATAGATAAAATAACTAACTTATTTGGTCACTTAACCATGGTCAAAATCTAGCCCAAGCTCTTTACATGAATCAACCCCTTTAAACACCAAAAGCCCTTTATTATTCCCATTTAATAGGAAAACTGAGATTTAGAAGGGTTAAGTAAGAGTCTGGAACTGTGAAGGGTATGAATCGTAACCTATTGACCGGGTAACCAGATATCCTGCCAAAATGTCCAGGGTATTGGTGGAAGATAGAAGACCCCGAGTCAGGCACAGATCTGAGCATTATTACAGCAGAGCCAGTATTTGTGTCATAACCTTAAACCAGGTGACATGTGCATCATGATGCAAAAGAATTCTGAGCTCAGAGAACCCAAATCTTCAGTAATTCCTGCTCTTTGCTCTGAAGAGATGCACACTATCTGTCCTGGGGCTGTTGGCTATATAAACACCTTGGGAATAGGGCCCCAGAACTTCCTCACCTGCTGCCTGGACTCTGGCTTTTTGCAACTCATGTGTGTACCCAGCTGTCTCATCTCAGCATTTTCCTTCCTACTGAAATGTATCCACAGTCAATAGTTCTATTCACAGGATGTGCAGAAACACCAGACACCCACAGATAAATTGCCTCCCGACAGGAATCTAGCCGACATCACTTAATTAGAGGTGGTGGAGTCAGATCTCGGGGCCCGAAGATGGTGTCATGATCTCCACCAACTCTACTGCCCCCATGATGCTCAAGAGCAGGAAGGAGGCACTGAGCATGTCTCTCTGGTCACCTGCTCACTGGTCCATGTCTCACTGCTCACCTGCTCACACATGGCTCTCTCACTTGCAGTCATGCTCTGGGCATTGACCTCCTCATTCCCTTCTCCCCCTTGCCATTTATTCTCTA